ACCATTCATATGTGATGACTCTGGATCAACTATCTCTGACCAAACCCAAATCAATAAAATTTTTAGAGAGTATTACATTAAGCTTTATCAGTTGGAGGAATTTTCAATGATGAGAGAGATATGGTTACGTTTTTTTCAGGATATTTCCTTACCAACCTTATAAGATGAGGAGAGAGAAAGTTTGGAGTCACCTGTCTGTGAATCTGAAATAATTTCTGCCTTGAAAGCCCACCCGATGGGGAAGGCACCAGGCAATGATAGATATACCATAGAATTTTATAAATGTTTTCAACACAATTTTATTCCATTCCTTAAATTATTGTTTAATGATATAACTAACCAGGGAAGGACCATTCACAAATGGGTAGCTTCCAACTGTTGAGTTTATTAAATAATGATTAGAAGTTGTTTACTAAAATTCTTGCAGTACATTTGGAGTCTGTAATCCCCTCACTGATACATTTTAATCAGGTAGGGTTTATTAAAGGCTGCCTTGCCTCTAATAATATGAGGAGACTTTTACATGTTTTTTCGAAGGCAAGCTCCCTTCAGCATCGCTGGATGCTGAAATTTTTTTTTTGACAGGATAGAGTGGCATTATTTGTTTTATGTTCTTTCTAAATATGGTTTCCAGTTTCATTACTGGGTGAAGGCACTTTATAATAATCCAGTTGCATCAATTAAAACTAATGGTGTAATATCTGAGCCTTTTCACCTTTTGAGGTCTACTCGGCAGTGCTGCCCTGTTTCACCTTTCCTCTTTATTCTTGCTCTTGAACCTCTGGCAAGTGCTATATATCCATATGTGCTATGCTAAAGATTTCTGGTGTTGATATAGGGGGATATGATTCTAAAGCTGACTTGTACGCAGATGATGTATTATTGACACTAACACAACCATCCCAGTCAATACCACAGGTGATGAAGCTGATTGATGCATTTGGGTATTTCTCTGATTACAAGGTGAATTACAGCAAGAGTGAAGCTATTCCTTTAAACTATCATACCTATACTTCACAGCTTGGTACCACTCGTTTCCAATGGAGATCACAAGGCATGAAATATCTTGGAGTAAACATCCAGACTGACTCCTATAGAAAATATTTTTGATTTAAATGGGCCTCACCTCCTGAAGTAAATTAGAGAAGATATGAAGAGGTGGACAGTTCTACCCATTTCATTATGGGGTAGAGCAGAAATTATAAAAATGAATATTTTACCTAGCCTGTTGTTTCTCATGTCTGCCATACCATTATAATTCCCCCCTTACTGGTTTAAAGAAATTAATAAATTGTTTACAGGTTTCTTGTGGAAAGACAACGAAAATTAGCTACAAAAAAATGATGAGACCAAGATCAAGAGGTGGATTGGCTATTCCGGATGTTTATTCATATTATTTAGCTTATAATGTTAGATTCCCCTTGTTATGGGCCTACACAAGTGAGAATGAAGTTGGTAGTTGGAAGTGGATTGAGGAGAAGATTTTATTTGACTACAGCAAGTCTGTCTCCTTATCAGCTCTATTTTTTCATCCTAAAATTAACTTTAAAATGGACAACCCTATAATTCAGTTTTCATGTGAGGTGATTAAAGTGTTCCAGAAACGTCTAGCCTTTGATGGGTCTTCATTACTACCATGCCCTAAAAGGTACAATCCCCTATTAAAAGCAGGGGGCAGAATGCTGTCAAACAACACTTGGGAATGTCATGGAGTCAATGAATTGGAACAGTTTGTGAAGGAAGGGGATATTGTACCCTTTAATGAACTGAAAGTTTTGTTTGATTTTAGAGATACATATTCATATTCATATTTACAGTTGAGATCCACCTTGAGGTCACTAATTTCAAAGAACAGGGACACCGGTCATAATCGAGATTTAGGCCCTGTCCAAATACCCGCACTTGCGCCCTGAGGTCTTCCCTGAAGTGCACTTGTCTCAAGTGCAGTGAGGGGCGTAAGTGCGCAAGGGATCGACGCTGTTTAAAAAGGAGAATTGGGACAGTTGTGTACATGTCAATTCCGTTTGGATCCAGCTGGTCCGTCTCCTAGGAGACAAAACATGGCGTTGGAGGAAATAATGTTGTTCACAGCACTGCTGCTGCAAATGATAAATAGATACAATCAGCGAATGATGAGGAGGATTAGGAGCCACAGGAGGAGGCAGCATCTACATCAGATCCAAGTATTGATGCTGATGCCCAACCAACATGTAAATTAAATTAAATTTTACTCTTGAATTTACCTGTTAATAATGTGTATATTAGCTGTAACGTCTTTTTTTAATCTACCGTTAACGTAGCCTAGATTACCGTTATTCCTATTAAAACATTTTTTGTTTGGATAAATTGTGGTAAATTGTGATATAAAATAAACTATAAAGACATACAGTAATAAAATAATAATAATTAAAGAAACAATCAAAGCTGTAAAGTGATGTGGACTGTCATACAAACCTCCAGTCAACTGTAAACTGTATATTATTTCATTATTAACGCCCTGTCATGTATTATTAAGTCCACACAGCGCGCTGTTTGACGTTATGTTCCTCTAACGGTTGTTGTCAGTCGGAGTTAACGGCTCGCGGACACATCAGTTACTGTTTGAAGATGGTGAGTTGTACCAGACAGCTGTGCAGTGTTACGGCGTCACGACACTATGGAGGATTCTGGGTAAAATCCTTCAGCGAAGTGAGGTCTGATGTGCACTTTCGGAAGGGGCGCATTAAGGGTGCAGGTTTGCACCCTTTGATAACAACAGAAGACAATTTGGACACCCTACGCACTTGTGTCCCTTAGTGGGAGCGCGCAGTAAAGGGGCACAAGGGCTCAAGTGCGGATATTTGGACAGGGCCTTAGATAATAAGTTTAGAGGGATTGCCATGGGAAGGAGAATGATTTCAGCAATATATAAGCTGTTGATCCTTGCCTCTCCAGACAGCCTATATTCCGTCAAACATCAATGGGAGAAAGACTTAGATGTTTCCATGACTACAGGTCTGTGGGAATCTGTTTTAAAAAACACAACAGCTCTATCTACTGTAAATGGGTGAGGTATAAAATTATCCAAATGAAAGTTATGCATAGAGCATACATCACACCACATACATTAAATAAAATGGATTCTTCTCTTTCGCCCCCTGTGTTGGCATGGTTGTGGAGAGGCAGGGACACTCACTCACTTGCTCTGGCAATGCCCTCAAGTAAGGAGTTTCTGGAAGGATGTTATTTTGAGATTGGAAGCTATTCTAGATGTAAAATTACCTGAATGTCCTTTAGTCTGCCTTTTAGGAATGAATGTAGAAAATATACAATCAAAGCTCACACAGCGAATCATTGCATTAGCCTTTTTGTCTGTTAAACGAAATATATTGATGAACTGGAAAGTACGCAAGCCAAATTGCTTTAATATTGACATGTGGTTAAAAGACTTGACTGACTTGTTATCACTGGAGTGGGCAGCCTCAGCCCTCTCTGAATATGACCATGGAGATGATGGACCCTGGACTTTTATCAGGTCATACTTGGAGAACAAGTTGTATGAATGATCTGTACCCCCCTCCCTTTACTGTTGTAAAGTTATTCTGTCAGTAATGTTTGATTAATTTTGTGTTGTCTGTTTTGTCTTGTCTTGTAGGTATGTTGGTGTCTAATTGTTTATTATATGTTTGGTAAAAAAAAATATCAATAATAAACAAAACAAAACAAACAAAAAAACAGATTTTGGACATCCTCAACTGTCTGTTGATATCTCAGAAATTGTTTGTCCAGTCATTACAAAACTTTCAGGATATGTCATAATAATGTTGAACCATGTGTATCAAAATTATATTGAAACCACTCTGTACAGGGCATTGCAACTCAATTTGGGGTTTTTGAGAAACACATTTTTGACATTTCCTCCTAAACCTTACTGTATCTGTGATTCATACCACATTTTCTGTGGATTGTGTTTATGAAGAGTTATCAAAAGCTTGTTAATATCTCATTGTTATTTGGCGATATTAACCAATTAACTTAAAAGAGGTGTGGCTCAAGACATCAGTAGACTTGACTCCATAACACTTAGGCCAGTCATCACGAAGCTTGCAGAACATGTTGACATACAACGTACTCCCAAAGTTTCACTGAAATGACCACTAGGGGGTGCAAAAAAGTGGGTGTGGTATAACACAAATCAGACTTCAAATCTTCAATTGTTTGTCCAATCGTTACAACACTTGCAGGATGTGTTTTATGACAATGTTGAACCACATGTATGAAATTCTTTTGAAACTGCTCAATAGGGGGCGCTACCAGTTCCAAACAAGTGCAATGGCCTGCTGCAAAATTTGATTACAAATGAACGACAGTTTCTCCAAACTCAGTAGATGTCTTTAATTTAGTGCTTGAAGCATGTTCCTAAAGTGTCTCTGCCATGGACCAATAGGGGACGACAGTGTTGCTAATGAAAAGTGTAACCTGGAAGAGAATTAGATGTAAATGAACGAGCATCTGTCCTTCGCCATAACAACTTTTTTTTATTACTTTAATTGATTGATTAATTAAGACTAAGAACTTTCAAGTTAAATACAGAACATGATGACAGTCCTTAACTTCACACACCCTCAACACTTAAAAAACCGCCCTGGAGATATGAGAAGGTAGCAGTTTCTAGATGTAACGTGGAAATTATTCCTGCTCTTTTGAGGGAGGCTAGAGGGCTAGCCACCTTTCCCCACTTTCAGCCTATGTGCAATGCTTACACATCCCAGACCATGTCTTCACACTTGACACAAAGATAAAATTGATATGGATCGTCCAATCCAACTTCCAGCAAGACAGCAAACAAGCCCACCCGCCAACATGTAACAGAGAATTACAGGGAAAATGGTAATTGCGTTCAGCCCAAATACAGTAATGCTGGTGAGATCAAATTTGAGCTCTATCTACTTTACTTGATTCACTGAGTTAATGTTACACATCCTAATGCATATATGTTAAAGGCATCTAGCAGGTCTTACCTGAGGGGAGAGCCCATTGCTAACAGGGTTGACGTGGTTGCTGGGTGCTGCAGAGCTCATAAAAGAGTCAGAGTAGGTGGAGAAGCCGTGGCGGTTGGAGGCCAGACCATAGGCAGAGCTGCTGTCAGTGCTGGACAGACCGGTCTGGTGCATGGTGGACGGAGGTAACGGCTGGGGACGGTGAACTGTACCACCACCGTCTGAAGGGCAAAACACAACATGATTGTGACCTACTCAGGAAGCAGTCATCTTATCAGAGATCCATATAAAACATAAGAATAAGAATAACTAAGAATAACTTTATTCATCCCCAAGGGGAAATTCAATTTAAAAATAGCCAATCAACAGACAGTTGAAAGTAGTTAAAACTGCATTCTGCTGTGATTGTACTCCATGTACTTTGGCAGTCCATTGAGTCCATTAAAAAGTGTGTGACACAGTAATCTAACAGTAATAATTGTCATTATTCATAACATGCTGTTGATTTGCAGTCTAATAATACTAGTAATTCTAGTTCTTTGTAACACCAGACAACATATTCTCAATCCAACATCATCACATATTGAGGTTTGGTCATGGACTTTCCACATGAAGATATAATGTCCAAGGTACCCTGGGTGTGTTGGTTGTTGACATTCTGGGACGCTGTGTCAACTTCAGCCTGTTACATGCATTGTCTGTTTTTAAAATACACTTCAGTTTTCACAGGAAATGTACAGTTTGCATACAGTCTCTTTCAAAATAAATGCACCATGTTGGTACAACCACAACGAAGGGACGTTTTTTTCCTTCAACAATAGATGCATGTGGTTATGTTTAGCCAACACAAGCACATGGTAGCGTAAAGGAAAAAAAAAAACAGGGCTTGGCTTGAGAATCACATGGGAAACAAACACCGGCCTCCCGGGTGAAAGTTGGTGATTGTTTGGTCCCTTAACTTATGTTGTTGTTGTTCCGCCACGTTTCCCCTCGATGCCACCAGTTGCTGTCACACATTAATGGTGACCAGCCACCTTTCATGAGAGGACAGCTTTTTCTTCTGTGTCTGATCTTGGCAGTCACTGCCCAAGCGCTAGTATTCGATTACTTTAGAGTGAGACTGGGTTGCACCAGAGAACATATGTAGGTGTTGCAACGCTGCTGTCCTTTACAGAAGTCTACAATGCAGCATTTCACTACATATGCGAGTGAAAATTAGAGTTTGTGAATCTAAAAAATGATTTGTTTTAATTGGTGTGAGTGACTCTGAAGACCAGGTTGGTAAAATACAAGGACTTACTAAACTCTGACTCTCTCTTTGTCACTGACAAAAAAAACTGCAGAGTACAAAAAATTCAGCTAGCAGTTTCTCATTTTTAGCTGGCCCCAGTTGTTGAAGGAGTACACCTACAGTAGCACATTATATGTAGACATGAAAGTCCACTGACACCACTGTGATGTGTGACTTGGGATGAGAACACATTAGGAATTTCGAATGTCACACAGGGAATCATGTATTACAGTCATTACAGTTCAATTTTCCAAAACATATGTTTGTGGTGTGGTAGTAGGTTCAAGTCCAAATCCGGACCAAGTATGGAGCATGGACTGGTAGCTGGAGAGATACCAGTTTGCCTTCTGGGCAGTACCGAGGTGCCCTTGAGCAAGGCACCAAACCCCCAACTGCTTAGGGCGCACGTCCAAGGCAGCCCCCTCACTCTGACATCTCTCAGTAATATATGTATAGGTCCTGTTTGTGTGTGTGTGTGTGTGTGTGTGTTTTGGGCCTGTGTGTGTATATGACAACAGAGTGGAAAAAATTGTACTTCCACTCGGGTATTAAAAAAGTGTATCTTCTTCTTTTTGTATTGTTTTTCTTGTGAAGCATAAAGGGACCACAACTGCATTTTGTTGTGCAACCCAGTGTACACTGAAATGACAATAAATAAATGACATTCAGAAAAACATAGTGTAGTGCTTTGATGAGGATGAGGATGAGGATGAGGATGACAATGATATCATGCGCTATAACCCTCACAGTCAACAGACTTTAACTGAACACCAATGATTTTGGTTATGTTTTAGGTTTAGTTAAGTTTCATTTCTGTATGTTCAGCTGTTTGCTCTGAGTTTGGCTCACTTTGCAATGTAAGCAGATTTTATTTTGACTGCAATGCCTGCATGTCATGTTGGCTTGTTTGTTTTTTTCCTGTAAATAATGTTGATAAGAGTACATCTATATTTTTGATAATAACAGATAAAAAACACCTACACTGTAAAATAGTTGGCTGTACATTTACAATAAATGAATGGCTACTAGTTGCATGTAAGTCATTTTCACGGTACATTATTGTAGAAGGCCTGTATAGCTGTATACTGTGATCTCACAGTAGTTATGCCTGCATATTTCTGTGGTTTAGCAGTATGCTGTTATAAAATCACTATATTTATCTTCAGCCTCACACTTAAAGCCCCTTACATTACTGTCATATAACAATATGTTTCTGTAAATTACTGAATTTAATTGTAACTTCATAGGTTTTAATACATGGTTTTCACTGGACATTAAGGGTATGAAAAACTGGCACCTAAAAATTAGCTAAAGCTGTCTGTTAAAGGTACAGTATTTATCTCAGAGATGTAGTGGAGTAGAAGTATATTAAGTTGCATAAAATTGCAATACTCATGTATAGTGAGAATCAATTTGTGTTTAAGTACAGCACTTCACTGTACACTGCAAATTATTCACAAGAAGTTATGACATGTAACCAGGGCAGTAGCCAGGGTTTAGAAATTAGTGAGGTCCAGAATTTGAAAAGGAGGTGTCGTTTCAAAATAAAAGCTGTCCGGTGTGTTAATATGTTTACCATGCTGTTTGGGGCTTCTTTTTTTTTCTCTTTGAAATTCTTACCGAGGTCCAGACACTAATTTCATTAGTTTTATATCTATGTGTAATTCCGGATACAAAATTTGCAAACTTTTTTCATTACATCAAACATGATGTAAATAAAGGTAGAGTATGCAGGATTTTCAAAATAAAACATATAGGGCTCTAGTTTCGCAGACCGGGTGAGGCGGGGGCGCAGCGCACCTGCGCTTTGCCAACTGGGTGTGGCCAGGCGGATTTTGCAAGTTTGGCACACAGTGCGCCCTGGCGCAGCTACTCCTCTTTGCCACCTCCGTCCCTCCTACCTGCGCAAGTCGGAAAGAGGGAGGAGAGAAGTCGTGGAGTGGGTTTTACACACATCACACCAATCAAATGAGCCCCTCTCCTCGCCCTTAAATGCGCCGCGCGAAGGCGTAATGAGAGTTTACTCAATTCGCCATGGCAGAAGAGAGCAGCAGCGTCAGACGGCCAAACTTCTCCCAGGAGGAAACTGATGTTTTGGTCCAGGAGGTCCAAGCTCACAGTGTCCGAATATACGGACCCGCGAGCAGACCTCCACGGGCTGATGATGCAAAGGTAGCCTGGGAGGAGGTCACCACAATTGTAAATCAATGATGCGTTTCTCTCGTGCGTGCGCGCTCTCTCTTTCTCTCTCGCAGTCTTACTCTGTTTCTTTTCTTCTGACTTTTCTAAGATGACAGATGCTGAATATATACTCCCTATCTGATGCTGTGGCTGTTTGTGGCTGGCTGAGAGGGATGTGAACTCATTAGTTTGCAGCTGTGTTAATCAAATCAGGTTGGGTTTCCATTACGCGTGCCAAACGTGCCAAACATTGCCAGTCCCCTTTGACGGGATGTGACGGGACAGTCGATATAGAGATACATTTATGTGCTGATTGCAGATATTTGCATTGAATAGTGGTTTTTTGGGTATTTATTCCATCGTTAATGTGCCTGATATTCTGGAAACCTGCCTGTGAGGTTTTGGTGACGTGTGCGCACTGTCCGCCAGTCAGCCAAACTTCGGCTTACACCAGCTGCGCTCCGCTTGCGCTGACAGTAGACCTGGTTTCAGCTGGCGAGCTTTTAGTGCACCTTTGGCGAAGCCTTTTGGCACGAAACTGTCACTGCGCCAAACTGGATCTGTCGACACCTCCCCCTGCTGTGCCGCCACACCCATCTCAGCGCACCTCGGTCTGCCAAACTACCAAACTGAACAACTCGGGTTGCGCTGCTTGAAACTAGCTCTGCGCAGGGTTCGCCACCCTGTGCCACCCTGCGCTGCGCCGGGAAACTAGAGCCCATAGACTTATATAAATATAATTCCTCTCAATCATCACTTATGACCCAATAGAAGAGTGTGGTGGTCTGTTTATCTGCATTTTCTCATTGTTTTGGTGTGTGGCTGGGCTCCTTCTGGGCGGTGCCCTTTGGGCAGGGTGTGTTTATGTGTGTGGAAAAAATCAGAAAATAGCGTTTTAATCCTCTGTTAGTTTCTGCCTAGCAAGATTGCCTTCCTAATACACACACAAGCAGCACGGGGAGCAGGAGAGAAGGAACGAACCTCAAGTGTATACCCAAAGTTACTATACTTTTGAGGTTGACACTTTCAGGCATGTTGCAACCCTGGCCGGTCAATCCATGATGTCATATTTAGTAAAAATATATACATGCTAATGAATCTAGTTAAAGATGAAAACTGTGGTTTCCAACCTTTTTGTCTTTTGACGTCTTACAAAAAGCATTGTGTAGTCGGGGTCACATTTCACATGTCTATGAGTTGTTAAGCTCCACCAAATAGTGATTTTTCCCTCTAAACTTCTCACATGGTTTCATTTCAATTAATGTTCAAATGATCCAATATTTCATCAAAAAATATAGATTAGAGGAAAAGTCCAGACATTTGTGTATCAAAAATATGTATTATGTCTACTTTCCTCTCCCATTAATCGTCTCCTAACCTCTCAGATGTATCTGCTGACCCTTTGGAGGGGCCCGACCCATAAGTTGGGAACCACTGGACTAAACTAGCTAACTGTATATAAAGCAGTGTAACTAGCTCCACCTCCAGCAGCTACAACAGTAACATGCTTGATTTGTCAAGGACACGTTCATGTATTTTTGTTGAGAAATGTTAACAATATCATAAAAGAAAACATTAACAGAGTGAGGAAAATATTTCCAGGTGGTGATACAGCATCCACAGCAACCCATACAAACGATAGAAAGCCTGGAAAGATCTCCGTAATAACTGACAAACGAAACATCATATGCATTCATTCAACAGAGAAGGACAGAGGTTTCTCCATTTAATAGAGGATAGTAGTATATT